AGGCTTCCTGGTTGAAAATCGTGGATTTGAGGCTTTCTGGTTGAAAATCATGGATTTGAGGCTTCCTGGTTGAAAATCATGGATTTGAGGCTTCTGGGCTGAAATTCCCTGGGGATTTATGAACTTTTGGAAAGGCCAAACTCCAAAAGCTGAATTTTGGAGAAGGGACCCAGCCCAGGGACCTGAGCATCTCCTCAGCCTCCGAAGCTCCCTTGGGACGGGATGTGCGATCCTTAGGGAATGACCGTGGCATCCAAATCCCTCTGGAACGTGCAGTTCGTGGCCGGGAGGGCCAAATCCTGCCCCCTTTTTCCAGGCTGGAATCTGAGCCTGGATTGGGGAAGCCGCGGGAACCTTTGGGAGCGTTTGGAGGGGGAAAACCACAACAAAAAACAACAATTCCAGAGCCGAGACAATTCCAGAGCCAGGGCAACAATTCCAAGGCTGGGAGCGCCCGGATGAGCACACCAGGCTGATTTCCCAGCCCTCCTCATTAAAATCCAGCCGGAGAGAGGCAGAGGAGCACCGAGATAAGAGAAAAGAGGCGGCTGCTGCCCCCGAGCCCTTCGCTGCTCCTGGCTGCGTTTTTATCTCCTGGCTGCCTCCCAGACAGGCAGGAAGAACGGGAATCACAGCCCTCCCTGCTCGCGGAGATGCAGGAGGATGGGGGAAAAAGAAATAAAAATCCCATCCCTGTGCACAAAACAAGGATTGAGTGAGGGGAGAAATCGCTGGAAAAGGGAGTTTGGAGCGGATTCTGCCCATCCCGGTGGCTCCAAACCCTGTCCAGCCTGGCCTTGGACTCTTCCAGGGCGGGGAAAGCTGTGCCAGGGCCTGGCTGCCCTCACAGGGAGGGATTTATTCCCAAAATCCCGTTTAAACCCACCCTCCTTCTGCTGGGAAAAGCTCCAAGGAAACGCTCCCAAAGCCGCTGTTCCCGAGCAAAATTCCCGGCTCAGACCTCGGCAGGGACTTTGCCGGGTGTTCCCTGAGTCGTGGAAATGGTTTTTTAGGGAATAACATCCCGAAATGGCAGCTGGAGGCTGCTGCGAGGGACACAGGGTGGGGACATCGCTGTCCCATGCCGTGTCACCCTCGGGGGTGGCGTTGGGTTTAGGGGGGTGGAGATGCTGGAAAGGGGTTGGGAATGGCCTGGTATCCCAGGAAAACCCTCGTGTTTCAGGAAAACTCGCACATTCCAGGAAGAGCCTGGTATCCCAGGAAAACCCTCGTGTTTCAGGAAAACTCGCATATTCCAGGAAGAGCCCGGTATCCCAGGAAAACCTTCCCATCCCAGAAACTGCCTGGTAAATCCAGGAAAACTCTCATATTCCGGGAATAGCCTCGTATCTCAGGAAAACCCTCCCATCCCAGGAAAACTTCCATATTCCAGGAACATCTTCCCATCCTGGGAAAAGCCTCGTATCCCAGGAAAAACCCTCAGATTCCAGGAAAACTTTCATATTCCAGCAACACCTTCCCATCCCAGGAAAACTTCCATATTCCAGGAACACCTTCCCATCCTGGGAAAAGCCTCGTATCCCAGGAAAAACCCCTCATATTCCAGGAAAACTTCCATATTCCAGCAACACCTTCCCATCCCAGGAAAACTTCCATATTTCAGGAACACCTTCCCATCCCGGGAAAAGCCTCGTATCCTAGGAAAAACCCTCGGATTCCAGGAAAACTTCCATATTCCAGCAACACCTTCCCATCCCGGGAAAAGCCTCGGAACCCAGGAAAAACCCTCATATTCCAGGAAAACTTTCATATTCCAGGAACACCTTCCCATCCCGGGAAAAGCCTCGTATCCCAGGAAAAACCCCTCATATTCCAGGAAAACTTCCATATTCCAGGAACATCTTCCCATCCCAGGAAAAGCCTCGTATCTTAGGAAAAACCCTCAGATTCCAGGAAAACTTTCATATTCCAGGAACACCTTCCCATCCCAGAAAAACCCTCCCATCCCGGCAACATCCGCTTCGGGAACACCCACCCCGAGCGCCAAACGCCCCCGGAATTTCTGCGGACACCCCGAAGGCACGGAGTGTTCCCTGCGGCAGCTCCTCAGTCCCTTCTCCCATCTCCAGCCCGGGGCTCCGGGAGCTCGGGGTTTCCATGGAGCCGCGGCGGCCGCGGGGCTCAGCCCGGGCATACAGATGAGGGGCGAGCGGGGGCGGTTGCCACGGAGCCGGCGACATTCGGGGCCCTTCGTGCCTCTGTTTATTCCTCCTTTGTCCCTTGATTTGTTTCTTCTTTGTCCCTTGATTTGTTTCTTCTGTTAAAAATAGGTTAGGAAACTAACAGCACACGCTTAAGAATTATCAACTATTTTACAACAGTTTCTAACCTATTTTTAATGCTTCTTTGTCCCTCTATTTATTTCTCCTTTGTCCCTTTATTTATTTCTTGTCACTTAATTTCTTCCTTTTATTTATTTCTCCTTTTATTTTTTTCTCCTTTTATTTTTTTCTCCTTTTATTTATTTCTCCTTTTATTTATTTCTCCTTTTCCGTTGTATTTCTCCTTTGTCCTTTTTTATTTCTCTTTTTTGTCCTTTCACTTCTCTTTTGTCCCTTTATTTTCTGCTTTTTCCTCGTATTTGTCCTTTCCCACTGTATTTCTCATTTTTCCTTGTATTTCTCATTTTTCCTTGTATTTCTCCTTTATCCCTGTATTTCTCCTCTTTCCCTGTATTTATTCCTTCTTCATCCTTTTAATTTTTTTTTTTTTGTCCCTTTTTATCTCTCCTCCTTCCCTTCCTTTCTCCGTTCATTTTCCCTGCCAAGTTTCCAGCCAGGAGATTCTCTCAGGAAGGAGGCGCCGTTCCCACTCCAGGCTTTGCTCGGAGTTGGGAGATGCTGGGGAGTCCCAGTTCCCTGTTTCAGTTGGATTTGGGGATGAAATCCCTGCTTGGGAGGAGCTGGGATGGAATTCCCAGAGAATCCGTGGCTGCTCCATCCCTGGGAGTGTCCCAGGCCAGGTTGGAAAACCCTGGGATCGTGGAGAAGCTGAAGAAGATGGAGAAGCTGGGGAAGCTGGAAAAGCCAGGAAAGATGGAGAAAATGGAGAAGCTGGAGAAGCCAGGGAAGATGGAAAAACTGGGGAAGGGAGAGAAGTTGGGGAAGCTGGAGAAAATGGGGAAAATGGTGAAGCCAGAGAAGCTGGATAGTCCAGAGAAGATGGGGAAAATGGGGAATCCAGAGAAAATGGAGAAGGCGGGGAATCCGGAGAATCCAGAGAAGATGGAGAAGCTGAAGAATCCAGGGAATCCAGAGAAGATGGAGAATCAGGAGAAGCTGGAGGGCAGCTCCCAGCTGAGCTTGTTCCAAATCTCCCTCTGCCAAGCCCCAGGAGCCGTCCTGGGAGCTGCCACCCCTTGGGAATGTCACACTCAGGACCGGCAGTGACAGCAGACAGGGCCACCCTGTCCCCACCAGGCTGGAGGTGCCACCAGCCCTGCAGGAATTCCAGGAGCTGCTTCCCAGGCACAGCGGGATCAGCCCCACCCTTTCCTGGGATTTTCCCCCCTCAGCAGGGATCACTCATTGCTAAAGCTCTTCCTTTTCTCCCAGTTTGTTCCTTTCCATAAATTTTAGTTCCAGATTTTCCCAAATCCACCATTTTCTCACAAGTTCCCATCCCGTGACTCACACAAACCCATGGATTATCCCACATCCAAGATTTCTCCCAGCCATCCATGCTGCAACCCTGCCCTGTGCTGGAAAAACGGGATAAAATCCAATTATGGATAAAACCAGCAGAGCTGGGGGGGTTTCCCTGGAAAACCAGGGTTGGAACCACGCGCCTTCTCCAGCCTTTCCTTCACACTTCAAAGAAACAAAACTCCTCCAAATTCCTCCATAATATTTTTTTTTAAAGGAGAAAAGATTCCCGAGATATTCGAACAGCTGGAGACTTTTACGGACCCGAAAACGCCGGAGCACTTAAAAGGAAAGGTGTGGATCCATCAGAGGGAAGCGGGAATCGATGGATCCATCCCTTCCTTTCACGCTGGTTCTGCAGGAGCTGCTTTAAAAGCAGCGGGGAAGGAGGGAGAAGAGCGGGGATCGATCCGGGAGGAGCTGATGTGGAATAAACTCGGCTTGGGAGCCCTTCCCAGAGAGAGCACGGCGGGGATAAAACTGAAACTTTGCTTTGACTACTCTTGTAATGTTTGTTTTTTTGTTGTTGTTGTTTTTTTCCCCTGCTGGGTGAGAGGCTTTTAAGGGAAGAAAAGGTTGGATTTGGGTCAGCACGGGGCAGGAGAGCTGGAGGAAATAATGGAATCAAAGGCTGGATTGGGAGAGGGGCAGGAGATGCCCCAAACCTATCCCAGACCTCCCGGAGCATTCCTGATGTTTGGGGGATGTTTTTCCCTAAGGAATATCCCACTGGAGGGCTGCAAATGGGGCTGGAGCTCCCGGATGGGGGATTTGGAGCTGGGGAGGATGAGGAGCAGGGAGCAGAGCCTGCAGGAAGATTATTCCCATGGATAATTATTCCCATGGAAAATTATCCCCAACTCTCGCAGCTCTGGTTCTGCTCAGCCTGGGCAGATTCCACGGGATAATTCTATGTGATTTTCTGGGATGAGAGGGCGCAGAAAATGCCAAGGATCTAAAGTGGAATTCATGGATTCGTTTCAGGGATCCTGGGAAGGTTCCATGAGGTAATTTCACCCAGATCCCGTGGGATGGGAGAATACAGTTCAATCAGGGAAATAAAACAGAATTCATGGATTTGCTGGGAGGGTCCTGGGCTGATTCCGTGGGATAATTCCACCCAGATTCTCTGGGATGGGAGGGCACAGGGAGTGCCACGGATATAAAATGGAATTCATGGATGTGCTGGGCAGTTTTGAGGGAACGGGGGGGTCCCAGGCAGGGTCCTGGTGGTGCCATCCTCAGGTTTTTACCTCCCCAACCTGTCCCTTGTCCCTGCCCCTTGTTCCCCGCTAGCCCAAACCCTCCTCTAACCCAGCTTTGCTGTTTTCCCAGGAATGACCTCGAGGAGAAGCCCGGAAGATGCAGCCAAGCACAGGAACGACTCCTTTGGGGAGGAAGAAGAGGCCCAGCTCTGACTGAGGCACCCCCAGCACTTTGAGCTCCCCTTTTTGGGGGCGCCAGGCAGGGGCCGACCCTTCCAGGGGCTCGCATGGAGCATCTCCCCCGACGGGCGCCGTCCCCACCTCGCCATCACCGCCGTCCCCCCGTCGTGGCCAGCTCTGGATGCTCCCTGTGACCTCCCGCAGCCCAAAATGAGAGGCCTCCAGCCCAGCTGCCTCCTGCTGTGCGTGGTGGCTGCCAGCGCCATGCCCACGGTGCCCTGGCGGGTGGCGTGTCCCCCGCGCTGCGTGTGCCAGATCCGGCCCTGGTACACGCCCCGCTCCGCCTACCGCGAGGCGGCCACGGTGGACTGCAACGACCTCTTCATCACCTCGGTGCCCCCGGAGCTGCCCGAGGGCACCCAGACCCTGCTGCTGCAGAGCAACAACATCGCCAGGCTGGAGCAGGGCGAGCTGGGCTACCTGCGGAACCTGTCCGAGCTGGATCTGTCGCAGAACAGCTTCTCCGACGTCTGGGATTTCGGGCTCAGGAATATGCCCCAGCTGCTCAGCCTGCACCTGGAGGAGAATCAGCTCTCTGACCTGCCCGACAGCAGCTTCCCGGGCTTGGGGAACCTTCAGGAGCTCTACCTGAACCACAACCGGCTCCGCAGCATCGCCCCCCGCGCCTTCGCCGGCCTGGGCAGCCTCCTGCGGCTCCACCTCAACTCCAACCTGCTGAGGACGCTGGACAGCCGCTGGTTCCAGATGCTGCCCAGCCTGGAGATCCTCATGGTCGGGGGGAACAAGGTGGACGCCATCCTGGACATGAATTTCCGGCCCCTGGGCAACCTGCGGAGTTTGGTGCTGGCCGGGATGCAGCTGCGGGAGATCTCGGATTACGCCCTGGAAGGGCTGAGGAGCCTGGAGAGCCTGTCCTTCTACGACAACAAGCTGGCAGACGTCCCCAAGAGGGCTCTGCAGCAGGTGCCCGGCCTGAAATTCCTGGATCTGAACAAGAACCCGCTGCAGAGGGTCAAGCAGAGCGACTTCACCAACATGCTGCACCTCAAGGAGCTGGGCCTCAACAACATGGACGAGCTGGTGTCCATCGACCAGTTCGCCCTCATCAACCTCCCCGAACTGACCAAGCTGGACGTCACCAACAACCCCAAGCTGTCCTTCATCCACCCCAAGGCCTTCCAGCACCTTCCACAGCTGGAGACGCTGATGCTCAACAACAACGCCCTAAGTGCCTTGCACCGGCAGACGGTGGAGTCGCTGCCCAACCTGCAGGAGATCAGCATCCACGGCAACCCGCTGCGCTGCGACTGCGTCATCCGCTGGGTCAACAGCACCCGGCCCCGCGTGCGCTTCATCGAGCCCCAGTCCACGCTCTGCGCCGAGCCCCCCGACCTCCAGCGCCGCCACATCCGCGACGTCCCTTTCCGGGAGATGACGGAGCAGTGCCTGCCGCTCATCTCCGCCCGCAGCATCCCGGCGCGCCTGGAGGCCGAGGTGGGTGACAACGTGGCCCTGCACTGCCGGGCGCTGGCAGAGCCGGAGCCGGAGATTTACTGGGTGACGCCGGCCGGGGCGAAGCTGCTGCCGTTCGGGGACGACGGGAAGTTCAAGGTGCACTCGGAGGGGACGCTGGAGATCCGCGGGATCGCGGCGCGCGAGGCCGGGCTCTACACGTGCGTGGCTCACAACCTGCTGGGCGCCGACACCCGCGGCGTCCGCGTGCTGGTCAACCGCTCCTTCCCGCTGGGCCAGGCCGAGCTGGAGCTGCTGGTGGTGGATGTGCAGCCCCACCATGTCCTGCTGGCCTGGCGGCCGTGCCTCAACGCCGTCTCCTCCAACCTCACCTGGGCCAGCTCGGCGCCGGGCTCGGTGCTGGGCTCGGCGCGGATCCCGGCGGGCACCCACAGCTTCAACGTCACCCGGCTGCGCCCCGACACCGAGTACCGGGCGTGTCTGCACGTCACCTTGGTGGCATCGCCGCTCAGGGTGGCCTGTGTGAGCGCCAGGACTAAAGAGGCCAGGCAGGGCATGCCGTGGGGACAGGGGACGCTGGTGACGGCGCTGCTGCTGTGCCTGCTGCTGCTGGGGGTGGCGGTGAGCAGCGGATCCCGGCGGGAATCGCTCCGTGGCGTCGCCGGGGCTGTGCGCGTGGTTTATCCCGTGCAGCCCCGGGGACACCTCCTGGCCGTGGAGGTGCAGGCAGCACCCCTGGAGTGCTGAGGGAGGATGGATTTTGGGGGGGTTCAGAGGGATTTTGGGGTGGGCGGGGAGGGGGGAAAGGGTTTTTTACCAAAAAAAAAAAGATGCTGGGAAAAAATTGGATTTTGTGGACGTGACCTTGAGGAGCCTCAGGATCCATGGGACAGGGGCCTCTGGTGGTCCTGGATCTGTGTGCAGGGGCTGGATTTGGCCGTGGATCCCAAAAAAATCCCGCTGGGAAGATGGGAGGGGACAGACAATGCCCTTGGGACAATGCCCCAAGTGGGTGAAGAGCCATAAAAGGAACCCCAATCCTGTGTCCCCCTGGCACCAGGGACACCCCAGAGGTGTCACCTCCTTTGCTGGACAGTCCCTGCTTTGGAAATACAAAAAAACCCTAAAAACCCCTAAAAGGAAGAAGATTCTTCCTTTGGGATCTGTGTGGGGTCTGGGGTTTCTTTTTTGGGGTTTTTTGGAGTCTTGGGATCATCAAACAAAGCAACCCCAGTGTCACCTCCCTCGCTGGACAGTCCCTGCTTTGGAAATACAAGAAAAACCTAAAAAACCCAAAAAAAAAAGAGGTTTTTTTCCTTTGGGATCTGTGGAGGGTTTGGGGTTATTTTTGGGATGTTGGGATCATCAAACCAAGTGTCACGCCCTGCTCTGTCACTGCTGTCACCTGGGGGGAAGCAGGAAGGGAGGATCTGGGATGGAAGAATGGGAAATGGTGATGGTGACACTTCCCTGTGGGGCTGGATGGATCCTGGATCCCACAGGATCCCAAAACTTTTGTGGATAAAGGGTAAACCAGGGAAAAAGGAAAAAAAAAATAAAAACAGGAAGAAAAGAGGGGAGGAAGAAGGAACAAAACCTGGGAATGTTGAGATGCACCCGGAGGGGTCCAAGGGGCATCACTGCGATTTGGGATAGGGGAAAACTTGGATTTGTGAGTTTGGGAAATCAGGAAAACCAAGCCTCAGCCATGGGACGGTGGCCCTGAGCACCTTCTCCAGCCGGGAATGCGGATCCTGGAACGAGGGAGAGCAGCAGGAGCTGGGCGTGGGTGCCCTCTAGTGAGCTCTGCCTTCCCCAGGAGCACTGATCCCAAAAAACAGCTGGAAAAGGGGGAAAAACTCCACTGGGAAAAAGGTGGGGTGGGGTGGGTGACCCCATGAAAATGTCAGAGTGAATGGGATTGGGAATGGGCTGGAGAACAAAGGTTCAAATCCAGAGGCTTTACTGCTGCCAGCACCAAGGGATTTTGCAGACATTGGATGGAGGGAAAAATCTGCCTGGAAAGGGGAAAAAATTTCCTTAAAAAGGAGGAAAAGTGTACCTGGAAAAGGGGGAAAAAATCTGTCTGAAAAGAGGGAAAAATCTGCCTGGAAAGAGGGAAAAATGTATTTGAAAAGGGGAAACACCTGCCTGAAAAGGGGGAACAATTTTGCCAGGAAATGGGAAAAAAATTGCTTGGAAATGGGAAAAAATTTTCTTGGAAAGGGGGAAAAATCTGCCTCGGAAGGGTGCAAATGGGGCTTAAAATGAATTATTTTATCCCTTAAAACAATGTGTTTAATTTTTAAGCCACTTTTCAAATCGCTCAAAAATGAGGATTGTTTTAGCCTAAAGGATGGGTGAGGGCAGGTGGAACATCCCAAATATCCCAGAGCTGCTGGAATTGAATCCTGCTGGACAGAGGCGACACAGAATAGATTTAAATATACAAAAAAGAGAAGAAATAGAAATTAAGGAGCCCAAAAAGAAAGAAAAATATAACATTATTATTATTATTATTTTTCCATCTCATTTGTGACCTGAGAGGTGTGGATTAAAAACTTAAGATTTATTTCCCATCTGTGAGCAAGGAATTCTTCACCCTGCCGACCTTAAACAATAAAAAAATTAGGAATAAAGTTCTTCTTCTTCTCTCCAAAACAAATCCCCTGGCCTCCCACCATAAATATTTATTTCTGTTTTTAACTATCAGTTCCAAAGGAATTGCACAAGTTGGGATTTATGGAAAAAAAAAAACCATTCCAAAGGTTTCACTTTTTCCCAAATCTGCTGTTCTTGGTCAGGAGAAAGAATCCCGAGGGACAAAATCGGGCTGAAGATGAGAAATTGGGAAAATTTCCAAGCTGGGGTTTTGATCTCGAGGTGAATTCCATGAAAAAGTGGATCCTGCAGAGGATTCTTGATGGGATTAAATCTTGGTACTCTTTGGTTTCACTGGTTGAGCTCTGGGATTGGGGATTGAGTGCAAAAATCTTCATTTTGGGGTTATTTTAGGTGCACAAGGTCCTGCTATCCCATAAAGATCCTGATGACCATCTTGATCCTGCAGACCGAGCTCTGGAATTGGGGTTTTTGTGCAAAAAACCCTATTTTTGGGGTTTAGGAGTAGAAGGTCCTGCTAGGCCACGAAGATCCCGATGGCCATCCTGATCTCCTTTTTGCATACACTTAAATTGGGATTTGAGTGCAAAAATCCAGATTTTGGGGTTATTTTATGAAGATCCTGATGACCATCGTGATCTCCTTTCTGCACACACCGAAATTGGGATTTGAGTGCAAAAATCCAAATTTTGGGGTTATTTTATGAAGATCCTGATGGCCATCCTGATCTCCTTTTTGCACACACCTAAATTGGGATTTGAGTGCAAAAATCCAAATTTTGGGGTTATTTTATGAAGATCCTGATGGCCCTCATGATCTCCTTGCTGCACACACTGTAATAGAGCCTTGAGTGCAAAAATTCCAGATTTTGGGGTTATTTTATGAAGATCCTGATGACCATCCTGATCTCCTTCCTGCACATACTGTAATAGAGCCTTGAGTGCAAAAATTCCAGATTTTGGGGTTACTTCAGGGGCAGAAATCCTCCCTACCCCATGAAGATCCTGATGACCATCTTGATCTCCTTCCTGCACACGGGACACGGCGACCTCTTCTTCTTCAGCATCCTGGCACACCTGAAGCAGGCCACCAGGTGAGCAGTCCTTCCGTGGACAATATTCCCATCCCGAGGCCTGTGCTGGCACAGGAAGCAGGGATTCAGCAGGGTTTTGATGCTCTCCAAAGATTCCATCTCCTCCTCTTTCTTCAGCTTGGCAAAATCCCGATTTTTCCCCTCCTGTGCCAAATCCAAGGACTCGATGGAGCCTTGGGGTTTGGTTTCTCCCAGGAAAAGGTGTTTGGGTTGGCCAGCCGGGGCTGAGATCGTCCTCCTGCAGTCTGGGACATCCATCCCTTCATCCTGCTCCTGGTTTTCCATGGAATTGATGTTGGAAAGGGACAGGGAATGGGGCAGTTTGGGGCAGTCCCTGTACCAGTCCTTGCGCAGGGCCCAGCAGCGGAAGCAGTACCTTTTTCCCGGAGAGTTGAATTTCCTGCACTTGGAGCATTGCCAGCAATCCTGAGGGATTTAAGGCAAAAATTCCAGCAAAAAAAAAAAAAATCAATTTATTTTTGGGTATTCCTCGTTTTAGCCATGTGGGAAAAGTAGCAAGGAAGCCTCGTTAAAAAAAAAAATATTTATGAGTGATTTATAAGCTGGAAAATCAACATTTTGTGGCTTGGGATTGATTAATCCCAGATCTGTCCCTCATGAATTCCTCTCCTTCCTCTCTCCCAGCCCTCTGGAAGTATCCAAGTTGGGGCAGCTTATTTTTATTTAATTTTAAAAGAATTCTCAATATTTTGCTCAAAATTCAAGGGGAGAGCTCCTGGAATATGGCAGGAATTTTTTTTCCAGGCTCACCCATCACTTACCAGCTGTTGAATCTGCACAATTAATGGATTTATTAATTCATTATCTCACAGAAAAGGGCAGGAGCTGCACAAGTGCAGAGCCAGGACTCAGCTGTCCAAAGCCAGGGACATCCCCATTTATTTCCAGGCTGGAAAATTCTGCTAAAACCATTAAAATTCTGCTAAAAACCATTAAAATTCTGACTTTTTGAGAGATTATAAAGTGCTACTTGAGATTTCCAAATCCCTTCCAAAGACAATCCTCCAGATTTTCCATCCAGAGGACAACATGGAATTAAAATCTTATTAAAACCCTTAATAAACCATGCCTGGGTATTAACATAACTACACCCAGCCACTTTTCTTTTCAGAAACCCACACGAAAATCAGCTTTTCCCACCCCAAAACCAGCAGCAGATGTGGGATGAGCCCTTCCAGCCCCAGGTAATCCCAAGGAATTCCCACCTCGGAAGCAGCCTCTGTGTCCGTGTCATCACTCAGGCACTGGGAATCCTCCAACTCATCCAAGCACACATCCTCAGGCACCTGGAATTCCAGAAAAGCATTGTCAGAGGGTGGGAATGTTGGAATATTCCCTATTTATCGTTTGCCTGGTGTTGCACACCCCAAATTAAATGATTACAGCATCACCCTGCTCATTAAATCACTTCTAAAAGTGAATTAAAACCCGTTTTTGCAGTGGTTCTTTTGCAGAATGTTGGTAACTTTTGCTGGTTTACCATGATCAGATTCTCCTCATTGAGTTTTTAGCTAGACTCAATTTTTAAAAGCCTTTTCTAAACTTAATTCCATGATTTTTGATTTATAACTCTTGCAGATATTGGTTAGAAACCCACTTAAGTCGCTGCGAGAAGTTTAATTCATTTTCAATTGATTTTATGCCTTGAAAAATTGAATTTAAACCAAAACCCAAGCAGGAAAACCATCAAACACATGAGGAATGGTGACAGCCTTTTCTAAACAGGATTTAGCCTCTGGATGGGAACAGATCCAGCCTTTCCAAGGGCAGCATGGGATGAATTAAAACAGAGAAAACTGTGCCAGAGGTACCTTGGTGGTGTCACCTTCTTTGACCTCCTCACAGTCCAGCACTTCCACCTTGAGCCCAGCAGTGCCCTGGTCCAGGGGACACTCGTTGAGGAACCACAGGTCATCGGTGGTGTCTGAAACTATGGCAGTGTCAATGTCCTGAGGGGGAAAAAACCAGGAAAAACCATTTAGGAGCAGCTCCACATTCAGCATTGTCCCGT